TACGAGAAAGCAATTTTATTTGCATAGAGTTCATCAAGGTGATCAACTTCTGACCAAAGAAGTAAAGGCATACGGACAGGACGCAGGATAATAAAAACCATTTACACTATCACGAAAAGACCTAATGTTAATATCCTCCGCCATGTAACTCAAAAGACGTTTCAGGTCTGCTATGACGGTTTCTTACTTTAGGACCATTTAGCGAGCATTTTGCCTGGTACCACTGGGATTATACCTTACCATTTCCCACTTTTAAAAATTATCAAAGTACTGAGAACTAAAGAAAAAACCTGCAGTAAGATTTTCCAGCATTTTTTCTTTTATATGCGTTTTCCTTTTGCTCAAACATTTTTTTCTCTTTTCTTTAATCACATTCATCCGCCTGCTAAAAATTAACCAGTGTGAACTTGATATACCTGTTGTGTAGAACACGCGTCTCACCGTCTTGGTAGAAAGAATATTCCGTCTGAGCAGGTCAGCGGTGACTCCCGCCAAGGGACAAGTTAAAGATTTGAAAACAAACGGAGCGGCAGCTGCAAATCCCATCTGAGACGAAGAAAATGAGCCGAGTAAAAATAAATCGTACAAAAGATTATGTGTATATTACAAAAGTAAACTAATTTCGGTCGGGCCAGGCTGAAAGAAAAGTTGTTGCTATTCTCTAATTTGCTTTGAAATATAGAAAAGGTAGAAATGGCAAAAAAGAAAATAGGAGGATGAAGACGGACAGTCTGAGCTTTGTCAGTTGGGATATCTATATCTCATCGAAATCATTTCTAGTTAAGATAGAATACTATTCTGGTTGAGATCCTCCCGCGACAGCTCTTTAGACAACTAACAGAGAGGCAAAATCAAACACTACTTCCTAAAAAATTTACGAACAAAACCGCCACTGGCTACCCCAACTTTCATCGAGACAATTTTTATTGTTAATCAAAAGTTAGTAAAGTGTGGACGTGTTTAATGAATGAATATCTTTTTCACATCTAAATTAAGCATTTATATAATTTTCGATGTCAGCTAACTTCCAAGCGTATCAATTACTGCAGATCCCTTTCTGCGTGGCCGCAAGGCATGATCCAGATATTTTTGCGTTAATCAATTACGTTCTTCTCTGAATAATAACTCACCGCTGCAACTTCATAGTGCAAGATGTCCATCAGAAAAAGAGGAACACAAATGAGTAACACATATAAGCCCCAATCGGAAGCAAAAGCAGCTATGATGATGGCCCAAACAGGACCTGAGGTCAGAATCGATTTCCAAGGTACAGTACCATGAGATACCTACGAATGAAACACTCGTGTTGTTAATAATAATATTGTAATACCGTAAAATTCAAGTCTAAAGCAAGTTGTTTCCTAGTAAATATAGCTTAGCATCGGTATTGGCACTCATATATTATCACAAGATTTTTCCACATTCAGCCGCTATGCCGAAAAATAGGGGTAAAACTTGAATCGGCTGACTTACTTACAAGTTAGTTTCTCATTTCTTTATCCTATCCGAAGACTCTTCTGGATCTTTTAGTGTTACGAGCGACAAAGGAAGCGAGTTTATTCTTTTACAGGGAATTCATGACATATAGTCAATGAGATCTTTTCGTTTCTAACAGTCGCGGATTTTCACTTGTCGAAAAACAGGAATAATTATTTGAACTAAGTTCTTACTCCCAGTTATGAAAGATTCAATTTTAAAAATATGACGGTTTTTTTTTCATGAATTTGGTCGGTTAAAATTATTTTTTGTTTGTAAGCATCCATTTTTTAGTCCTCTCAAAACAATACGGAACTTAAAGACTTTAACCTCTTCCATATTAACAGCGGTAAGCTCAATGTAGGAGCGTTCGTCATATGTTATGGTAGGGTGAACTGATGGAGATTCGAACGCCAAAACAAACCAAGCCACATACCACATGATGCCAAATATTCCTGTGAATAGAGAAGTTGTTAGGTGTTTAACAAAAGCAATTTTTTAGGGGGCCCTAATTTTTTTTGTTATTTTTTTGGCTATTGTCATGCTGGAAATTGGATTGATAAAAATAAGTTTGGGCGC